GGACAACATTGGAAATTATTTTGATTGGAAGTAAATGAATGAAGAAAGAAAAGTGAAGCTTATAACAACAAAGATGCGTGGGACAGCCTTGGAGTGGTGGAAAAGTTATCAAAGGGACAAAGAAAGGAAGGGGAAAAGAATGGTTAGTTCTTGGGGAAGAACGAAAGAAAAGCTGAAACCATTGGCAACCTCAAACCATGATATATCTACTAACATTTTGTTGTTCAATTTCTGTCATATTACTCCGAAGAGTTAATCTATTAAACTCTTTTGCGTACTCCTTTACACCCTTTTCCCATTGCCTTAAATTCAGCACCTTTTGGTAAAGCTGAAATCACAATTCTTACCACTAGATTATGAGCAAACTCTTTGCCAAAAGGTGTTGAATTTAAGGCAATAGGAAAAGGGTGTAAAGGAGTACACAAAAGAGTTTAATACATTAACTCTTTGGAGTAATATGACAGAAACTGAACAGAAAAAAGTTAGTAGATATATCAATGGTTTGAGGTTTCCAATACAAGATCAAGTCAGCCTACATTGCTCGTATAAGGTAAAGGATGCATATCAGCTAGCTCTAAAGGTTGAAGCTCAATTGAGTTGGAGCTCAGGATGGTAACTAAGTGTTGTCCAAGGTACATCTTCATCAATAGGTCGAAGTGTTGGGGCTGGTAAGGGTCGTGTAATCAACCAAATGCGGCCTACAGTCCAAGGGACCTCAAATGCAACAAAGATCACTCAAAGGCATCCTACTATTAGATGTTTCAGGTGTATGGAGTTGGGACATCGTTCGAATGAATATCCTAAGAGAAGGATTGAAGGGAAAACACATCTGGTTGATAAAGTCATTGATAAACAGAAAAATGATATAGGCCATGTTGAGGATGGACAAGTGGCTGAAACCACTGAAGCTAATGTTTTAGAGGAAGAAAAATTGGATGGGGTCATTGAGGGTGAAGCTCTAGTGATACAACACTCCATGGGTTGCACTTCAAGAACCACTACCAAGGGACTGGTTGAGAAAGAATATCTTCAGAACACGTTGTACAGCTGGTGGGAAGTTGTGTAACTTGATTATTGATAGTAAGAGTAATGAGAATCTAGTTTCTCAGGAGATGGTGGATAAGTTGCAACTCAAGACTGTTCAACACCCAAACCATATCATATTTTGTGGTTCAACAAACGAAATGAGGTAAGAGTTTCTTCTAAATGCTTAGTTAATTTCTCTATGGGCAGAGTTCTTAAAGTACCCCTATGGTTTAGGAAATTAACTAACTCTACCCTTACTGTTTACATATTGTCTTAAAGTACCCCAAGTTTTCTAACAATTGACGTCGCCGTTAAGCACTAATGAAAAAAAGCAAAATGTTGAATTTACCCTCCACTATTCTTTAAAATTTCAAAATAAAACCCAACTGATGAAAATTTTTAGGAAAATGAAGCGGATTGCAGCTCCGACGATCATCATCATCACTGTCATTGTCATCATGTGTAAACAATAAAGAAGCTCCGTTGAACAAACAGGATCTAAACAATAAAGATCATTGTTCTTTAAATTTTCAAAACAAAACCTAAGTTACCAATGATTGCGTTTCATCGCATAGTTTTCAAGGCACCAAGGCGAGGTTAGGTGATTGGGGGGTGCCTAGTCGCCTAGTCGCCTAGGCAATGAAATTTTTATGTTAAAAGCATAGATCCTAGGGTAGTTCCCTAGGTACCATAACCGTATTTCTTTAATAATTATTCATGATTTTCATAAGAAAAGTATAAATTTCATATTAAAGTATAGAAAATCAACATATTCATGAGAAGAAAAGGAAGAAGGAAAATAAAATTCAAAAAATATAGGGGCTGAACCCTTATTTTTTTTATAGGAAAAGAAAAAAGTAAAAAGTATTGGTAGTAGTAGTAGAAGAAGAGGAAGAAGAAGAAGAAGAAATAGAAGAAGAATATATGGAAGAGGAAAATGTGCTGATTAGATAAAATTTTTAGTTCTTCCTTATTGGTTCAGTTTTTTAAGTCTTTGAGGGTTCAATACAGCATTTAGCAATGTTTGTGTTGATTAAACCCTAATAAATAAGAAAATAATAAAAGAAATTAGTATATAAACACACAAAATGATTATTTTAGTTTTATAATGTCTATTTTATAATTATAATCTCAAAAAAGAATGAATAAAAAAGTATTTTATGGTAGGAAGTAGAAAACTGTTAGGCGATTAGGTGAGGCGAGCCTCAAAGGGTGCCTTGTCGCCTAGGCGTCGCCTTGACAACTATGTTCCATCGGTGAATGTGCATCTACAAAGAAACTTCCTTGCTTTTCATCTGTTGCTGGATTGCTCCTATCGTTGTTAGTTGCTTTGGCTTCATAGCCAGGCAGAAAAACTTGTCTGCTTGATTTACGAAGAACGCATTTTCTGGTATCACTTCAAAACCAGCTCCTTGGAAGTGGAATATGAACTTGGGAAAACCAGAAATTTTTTTTGGAAATGCGTAATAGAGATCCAAAGTGTATGGACTTTGATAAATTCTCTTTAGTTTCAGTTGAGCAAAGTAATCCACCAATACATTCTTCACACTTTTGTATGGCTTCTGATCAATGTAAGTGAAGGCGGAGCCCGAGTCGATGACACAGCCATCGGTGCCATCAGGTTTCGACGCAAACATTCCTGGCGGGAAGTTCATGCAGCGGGTCCCTACAGTGATATCTATCAGATTCAATGCAAACAGTTTCAGGTTTTGGCTGTACTGCACAAATGGGGTTGTCTGGACGTTTCCTCCTTTGATGACTATGTCATTGCCAAACCTTAGAAAGCTGGAAATCTTCATGGAGAGAGCAGATTCTACTAAACAGTAAGAGAAGTGTTGGCTAATCTGGTCACCCAACTGGGTTACTAAAGAAAGAGTGCCTCTATTCATTCCCAATATCCCATCAATCCCACCGCTAAACTGGAAGTTGCGGTTCAGATTGCTACAGCCAAAGACATTCTTGGCCTCAAGGGACTGATTATTAGATGGAAAAGTGAAGGTTTTAGAAGAAAACCTTTGGTTTCAGAATCCATTCTCTTAGAGGCCACCTGACGTCTTATGGTGGAAGTGAGCCCGAACATTGCGGAAGCAATCGAGGTCAGACTGAGACATCCGACAGATCTGTGAGCTTTGAGGAGAAGAACCCAAGTTAGCTGTTTGGCATTCTTCCTTGTTTGTGTTTTCCAAAGAGAAGAACAGAACAGATAAGAAAGTAATAGAAAGGGTATTACTGTCATTTTCTCAAAATATAAAAGTCATGTGGTGTGGCATGTCAGCGGATTGTGACGGAATCCTAACAGCAGGGAAGGAATTAGTCAATTGTTAGAGAACTTAAGGGTACTTTAAGACAATATGTAAACAGTAAGGGTAGACTTAGTCAATTTCCTAAACCACAGGGGTACTTTAAGAAATTTTCCCTTTCTCTATTGGTAATACATTTGAAGAATCGGTATGGTGTAATGTTGTCCCAATGGATGGATGTCATTTTCTTTTGGGACGCCCATGTCTGCAATCTTCCTCCAATCCATAATCGGATTTTTTGCTTCAATCACTTCCAATGGGTTTTGCTTAAATGTGCATTTAGTAATGGATTACTATTAGTGTTTTCCATGGCTAGGAAATCCTGGTTGGGGAGTCTCTCCCTCCATCGCTGATAAGTTTCCTCCAGAAAAACCCTTATCTACTTATGCAGCTTCCACCATCTCCTTAATCTCAGGATTCCTTCGATAAAGCCAGTCAAAATCTCAGTCACTCCTCGCCATCCTTGACTATTTTTCCCTGCAGGGAAACAAACCATTTGTTTCTTTCCTTTGTCTAAGAACTCTGAAAGAGATATGAATAAACCTTTAGCATTCCGTTTACTTTCCACCACATATTTCTGCCTGATTTTGTGTTATTTTCCTTCCAGCATATCTGTTTTCCTTTTGTTTCTGCTTCATGCAAAAAATCCTTCAACCATTCTATTATCTCTAAGCCTTCCACCAGAACTGTTGCCTTCTTCACCTCCCTTATCTTCAAGCTGTAGCACCCTTTGATTCTTAGTTCTTCGAAGACCTTGCCGCCTCCACAAAACCTTGTGAGCTTTCCATCTTCAACCTCCACCAAGGGGAAGAGAAGTTATAGAGGGATTGGGAAGGGTTCATGGATGCCTTCCTGCAGAACTTTCTTGAAGAAGAGACTCATCAGTTCTCTGAAAACCATCAAGGATAGCCTTTTTTGCAGATTTTACATCTATCTCTACATTCAGATAATCAGATGCTTAGAAGATGGAAGCTGGAGGAAGGGAAGCTTCGGTTTTATTGTCATTTCCTTTGTTATCCATTTGATCTTTTTAAAAGCATCTATATGAGTCCAAGCAGTCTTTTTCTCATCCTTCAGACAACCAACCAGCACTGACCACCCTCCTAACTCCAAAATGTACAGAAAGCAATTCAGCTCTCCTTGAATCCCCAACTCATCCATATAAGCAATTCAGTTTGTATGACCATTTTTAACCCTGTCCTTTCTAGTTTTACCACTCATCCATCTAAGCATTCACATTTCTGCGACAGTCATTTTTAGGAAATGTTTAACTGCCCAACACTGTGTTTCATAGGTTAAGGAAGTTGTTTGACAAACTAGATGCCTTGCTTCAGATTGGATTCTGATTTTTCTAAATTCAAGAACAAGGAGGAAACTTCACTCCATAAAGACTTTTCGCTTGTTCTGGAGTGAAGGCATCTTCATCATTTGTATGGTCTCTTACTTTGAGACACTTTATCAGGATATTCTTTGAATGCTCTTCTTCTCTTATAAATCCTCGTTTTTCTTTTCAAAATAATTTATACTTTACTACCAAAAAATAGAGAAAAATAGTAATCTCATGGTACAATAATAAAACAACTTGCTAGACATTTATATTGGTATAAATCAACTAAGAATTAAAAGTATACAAAAGCAGTCAGTGGTTGATAATGAAACAGCTGGTGTAATTACCGATAAATCCGATCCTCAAGCAACTGAAGCCCCATTTTAAAATTCTGGAGATTACCCTGAGACTGGCATGAGCAGAACTTGAGCCCAAGAAGCATGAGAGTGAAAAAGGTACCAGTAGCTGCAGGATGGTTTGAAAAGTGCCAAGGGAATTTCATAGTTCCTTGTAACATACGACTAAGAAGCAATAGCTGCTCAACATTTTCATGCCGAACAACCTATAAAACCAGAAAAGAAAATATGAAAAGCAAGGAACAGAATAAAATTTTATATAATTTCAAAGATGACATTTTCCTTGAAAATGAAAATTAATAAATTTGTACATGCATGTATTTTTTATGCATAGTTAAAATAAAGGAAAAGAAAGATATAGTTTACAATTTCTGTAGCATTTAGCATGGAAACCAAAGTTATCTATTTTTCACTGTTGTGTGCTTTTTCTCTTTTTTACCATTCAAAATAGTGCAACTAAAAGATTTAAAACTGAAGCATATGAGCATCAAAGGAAAATTTCTTTTTTTCCCTTCTATGTGGGGAGAACCAGGGAGGGGGCTGGAGAGGAGGAGAGATTCGTGAACTATGCAGAAGGTTTGGTAAGAGGTTAGAAACATGAGGAAGGAACTATGCGAAAGGTTTGGGTGGACACACCAAGTGAGGCATATGGTAATCTCAGGATTTTGGAAAGGAGTCTAGTTGGTTGATTTGTGAACTCTGAACCTGATGTGGAAGCTGTTAAGGTTTGGTCTTTGGAGGCTTGGTGCCCAAAAAAGACTTTGTAGGTTAGAAAGCTCAGCAATGGTTTTCTCCCATTTACTTTTGATAGTGTGGAGGAGGCGAATCTTGTACTGGAATGAGAACAAAGTGAACTGCGACCTCCAAAGCTTAGAATAAGAAGGTAGTCTCCTTTGGCTGGTGCTATCAGAAACGTGGGTCTGACAAGCTTGGTGTGGTTTGATTTTTGGCATTCTATTACATGCTTGGAGTTTTCATACATTTAAGGCAGTGAGGGAGGCCTGTGGCAGGTTCATATATGCCGGCAATAGAAAAAATTCTTGGAAGATGTTGAGCACAGCGAGAATCTTAGTGGAAGTTGCAGAGGTTCACAAGGTACCAACTCTATTAACTCTCTGCTTCAGGGGGAAAGCTATGAGTTGAGACTTGTGGTGGAAGGTTCTTACCCTCAAAGTTGGTTGAACCACCTTGAAGTAAGGATAGGGATCCAAGACTGGAAGGAACCCAGATGCAAAGATCTTCATTCTGTTGATTTGGGCAAGAAGGCGAAAAGACATTGAAAGACAGAGGCAGATGCCGAGGGCATTTCTGGAAATTTTAAGGGGTTTGTTTCAAGGAGCTTAAATGATGGTGGAGACTGGCAGAAATCAAAAAGTGGAAAAGTGGGTGGGGTCCAAGTGAAGGCGGTTGAAATGGATCGAAGCTTGGTTAATGTAGAAGAGGGTGGAGACCGAGAGGAATCAGGGGAAGCAGGAAAAGTGGACGATTTAAATTTGGAGGAATCTCAAAAGCTGAACAAGAAGATTAGGCCCTTCAAAGATCCAGGTGGGGCCCATGTCTTGACTGGTAATTGCGTTATTAGAAGGAAGATCAAACGACTTAGTAAGGCAAGTTTGCATTAAAAGGATTTTCTTGGGTCTTAAGAGGCAGGATTTTAAAAGGCCTGGGACGTTGGAAAGGAAAGGGGAAAGGTGCGCTTGAGCAATCTCCGAATGTGATAAAAATGGATTTAAAAGGAGAGGTCAACGAATGGAGGTGGCACATGTGGGGAGTCAGACGTCTTCTGTGGATGGAAGTGAGAGTCCGTGCTTTCAGATTGAAAGAAATAGTGTGGTGGTATGTCTCACGTAGGAAACTAAGTTTGCAGAGGTAGTACTCCAAGAAACCAGGAAAGATTTGATTCATGTGGGGAGTCGATTATCCCCTATGGAGGGAAGTGAGGGTTTGTGCTCTCAGTTTGAAAGAAATACTGTGGAGGTCTCCAACTCTCCATCACATAGGAAATTGAGTTTAATGAGGCAGTACTCCAAGAAACCGGGAAAGACTTGCACCTAGGAGTCCCGCTAGTCACTGATGACATTAATCTTACAGAGAGTGGGGGATCGGAAGAGAGGGTTGAGGCAGTTGGGGAAGGAGATACTGATGTGTAACTGCAGAATCTGAAAACAAGGAAGAGCCGGGAGGGAAAGGGGCGAGAGAAGATGGCAGCAACGATGATGGTTAGGAAGATAACTGTGTTGGAAACTTATGTTGCTTTGAGGAGGTGACAGTAGGAAGGTTGGTGTAGACTTGGGCCGGAGAAGCAAAAGTGAAGAGAGGACTGATCAACAGATTTAAACTAGTCCACAAAAATAGGTGTAAACCTGAAAAATTAGAGAGAAAAAGGAGGAAGAATAGTAAGAGCAGCAGTACAAGAGAAGAAGATGGAGAAAAGAGGAGGAAGAAGAAGAAAGGTTCGAATAATCCTTCCCTTTCTTCTCTAATCCTTTTTACTAAAAATTAATGTTAAAATATTTACAAGTATGCCTTTAAGTGGGCGGCCAGCTAGGCAGTAACATAAAGAGATCAAACAAAAAGAAATAACAGGCCCATTAGCTAATAGGAAAATAGAAAAAATATTACAAGAGAAGATACTAGGACCCACTCGGACCAGTCTCTTTACACTCCCCCTCAAGCTAAGCATAGATGTTAATCATGCCCAGCTTGCTTATATAGTGTGTCATTTTCCCTCTCGGAACTCCCTTGGTCAAGATATCAGCCAATTGTTCGTCTGATGTGATGAATGGCAAACAAACTTCTCCTGAGGAAACTCTTTCCCTTATAAAATGTCTATCAACCTCAATGTGCTTAGTTTTGTCATGTTGAACAGGATTATGTGTAATACTGATAGCTGCTTGGTTGTCACAGTAGAGCATCATTGGCTTCTCATAGTCAACCCCCAATTCTTCTAAAAGGGATCGTAGCCATAGTAATTCTGACACACCATGTGCCATTGCCCTGTATTCTGCTTCAGCTGAGGATCTAGCAACTACAGTCTGTTTCTTACTCCTCCATGACACAATGTTCCCAGCGACCAGAGCACAATAACCTGAGGTGGATCTCCTATCATCAATACATCATGCCCAATCAGTATCAGTGAAAGCTTCCAGCTTCATGTGTCCATGTTTGGCAAATAGAATACATTTCCCTGGAGTACCTTTCAAGTAACACAGAACCCTTTCTGCAGCAACTAAATGAGTATCTCTGGGAGAATGCATAAATTGACTAATAACACTTATTGCATAGGAAATGTCCAGCCGAGTCATGCAAAGATATAACAACTTCCCAAGCAGTCTYTGAAACACCCCCTTATCAGATAAAATGTCACCATCTATAGCAGAAAGCTTATGATTGGGATCAATAGGAGTGGAGATTGGTTTAGCTCCAAGTTTACCAGTCTCAGCAAGGAGGTCAAGGACATATTTAAGCTGAGAAATGAAGATACCATCCATAGACCTAGCAACTTCAATGCCCAAAAAATACCGAAGATCTCCCAAATCCTTGATCTCAATTTCAGATTTAAGAAATCTTTTGAGTTTACTGACCTCTTGAGTGTCATTATCCGTGACCACAATATCATCAACATAAACTATCAAAAAGGTCACCAGAGATCCATTTCTCTTCAAGAACAGGGTATGATCAGATTGAGTTTGTGTGTAACCAAAGGAGACAAGAGCAGCCCTGAACCTCTCAAACCAAGCCCGAGGAGACTGTTTGAGACCATAAATAGATTTCTGCAGTTTACACACCTTCCCTTGCATTTCCTTCCAATACACCCCTGGAGGCAAAGACATATAGACTTCTTCATGTAGGTCTCCATTCAAGAAGGAATTTTTAACATCAAACTGAGATAACAATACCCGGACTGAGGTCATCTTAGCTACAGGAGCAAATGTCTCAAGATAGTTAATACCATACATCTGAGTGTAGCCTTTAGCAACTAGCCTGGCCTTAAACCTCTCAATAGAGCCATTGGAATGACATTTAATGGAAAATACCCATTTACAACCCACTGGTTCCATCCCTTCAAGCAAGTAAACAATATCCCAGGTATGGTTCTTATGCAAAGCATCCAGTTCAGCCATCATAGCATCCCTCCATTCAGGTTTAGATAAGGCTTCCGGTACGGACCTGGGTATCACATGGGAAGAAACAGAAGCAAGAAAAGAGTAGTAGGAAGGAGAGAGAAGGCTATAAGACAG